GTATAGCTTGTTCATATAAGCCCTTGTCGTATACTCCTCCCTTTCGAGTCTTTTGGTCCTGTTCTTGATCGTGTTGCATTGGCCTTCATCATGCTGAACTATTCCTCCGATGCCGGCTTTTTCCTCAAGATCTCTCTTGCTCATTTCTTTGTGTTGTCCTTCCTACCCTTGAACCATGTCTACTTCCTCTCATTCTCTCTCTTCTTCTCTCTCTCATCTTTTGATGGACTAACCTTAAAAATTATTCTATGAAATCAACATTTTTATGGCTCGTAAGAAATCTTTCTGGCCGAAGTGCATAAGGGTCTAACCACACCTTTGGATCGCGATGAATCTTACAAACATTACAAAGAGTCTTGTAACACTTGTCTTGGTTCAACTATTAAAAAAAATATAAATATAGTTAATTCAACTGGTTTTTACGTTTGTATACATGACTACATTTTTAAATTTGTCTCTTTTAATTTCAAACTATAAAATAGTAATTTTTTAATGAATGTGTTATGCCTTATATTAAATTAGAGTGTATACTAATTAGTATCTAAATGATATAGATATAATTTTTTTGTACAATTTTTTTACAACTTTTATATGTTATTAAATGAATGAATGCATATAATATTATAAGTCTTAATAGTGTGAAAATAGTCAATCATTAAACGATATATAAGATTACATGGAAATTTGTCTTTTAATCATTTACCCTCTAAGAGATAATAAAAGAGTAAATATTGGTAATAAAATAAATAATTAAAGTTAATCAATTATAATAGAATATTTAAAGTAGGAATATATGGAATATATATTATTATTTTGGATCGCACAAAGAGAGCCAACTCTCTTGTATCTTTTAATCTCACTCCATTTGCATATCATGTGATTCAAACTCTAGATCTCTAACTTTTACTAAAAAAAGATTAACATTGAGCTATTTTGATTGTTAATGTAGGAGAAAAATATTAGGAGTAACAAAGAAATATAGTACCAATTATATGGGTAATAATATTAGGCAAATGTTTTTTTAACAACCTATGTTCACAACTTTTACATAATTAAATTAATGGATGTATACAATATTATATATTTCAATAAAATGTAAACAACCAATTGTTAAATGACATATAATATTCAATGAAAAAGTTAATAAAAAAGTTGTCTCTCAATTATATTTTCTAGGAAGATTATTAGTACATCTCTCAATCCAACACTCCTGTCAATGAACAATGATTAGTATACACTTAATTCAATGCACTGCGCAATATACTCATTAAAAAACTGTTATTTCTTGGTTTGAAGTTAAAGGTAAACAAGTTTAAAAATATAATCATGCACACGGGATATAAGAACTGATTGCATCAGTTGTATTTATATTATATTTTTAATGGTTAAACTGAAAATATGTTAAAAAATATATTGAACCAAATGTATACTAATCATTTTCCCCGGCCAATACTCACCAATTCAACCATTAAAATCTAAAGTTTTAGTATTTTCATTTTTAAATTAAATTTGAAAATAATAATTTTTAATTAGTGTGTTATAAAGTGTGTTAAATTAAAATATGTACTATCATCATCCTTTTTTTTTCTTATTATATTAAATGAAATTTCTTGATAAACATAAATGAATAAATTTTGACAACTAAATTAGATGAAGGAAGTATTAATCTTTCAAAAATGTGTTTTTCAATATCGACTATATTTTTTTATGCAGTTCAAATACTAAAATTACTAAAATACTCTTAATAAAAACTTCCTTCATGCTATTCATTAATAATATTTTGATAATTTTGACACCTAAACTATAAAAAAAAAAAAAACATAAATAATTAACTTGTACTGAAAAATACCTATCTAATCTTTTAAGGAGAGCTTTTATTATATAAATGTAAATAAGAAGAAACAACATACACGAGACAAGAAAGGACAAGCTGGTTTGGCCACAATGATTGAAAGCAAACAGCGTAATCTTACAATTCAATTTAGCTCAAAAACGGAAGGTGGAAGGCGTGGGGATATAAGAACTTCAAGCGGTGTAGATTTAAGGTTGGTCATTCCAACTCCTTCACTCATGTCAATCTGTTCGTCTAGTGGGGTGGAAAACTCAAACATGTGCAGCAAATTAGCCAGCGAAAGCTGCATGACTTGAAGCGCAAAGGTAACACCAGGGCACATTCTTCTCCCACTACCAAATGGGATCAATTCGAAATCTTGACCCCTAAAATCAACATCTTTATGGCCCGTAAGAAATCTTTCTGGCCGAAATTCATAAGGATCTGACCACACCTTTGGATCACGATGAATCTTATAAATATTCACAAAAAGTCTTGTGCCTGCCGGAATATGGTAGCCACTCACAGTACAATCTTCCATAGACTCATGTGGGACTGAGAGAGGTCCTGCGGGATATAAACGCATGGTTTCCTTGATAACGGCGTGCAGGTACAAAAGATTGTTTATATCTGATTCCTCTACTTTCTTATCTTTGCCGACATGGGTGTCTAGTTCATCTTGAACCTTTTTCAATGCATCACGGTTGTTGAGTAGTAAAGATAAAACCCAGGTCAATGTTACTGCTGTAGTGTCAGATCCTGCTAGGATTAGCCCCTGCCAAAATTTGACAAACTAATTAATTTTCCCCCAGTCCTTTTCTACCCAATAAATTAAATAATCCATTAGGTGAAGATATTTCTAAGAATTACTCAAGTGCAATTGAAAATCCAAAATTAAGCATACCAAGCTGGTGGCTTTATTAATAGTATCAGCATCATGGTCCCCTACATCATTTAGAATGGAAAGCATCACATCCATGAAATCTTCATCCTTTTTCTCCCCACAGGAAATTTTCTTGCTCTTGTGCTCCTCTAACCATTCCATGACAACTTGGTCTAATTCTTTTGCTATCTTCTTCGCCGCCTTCTCCTCTCCACCTATGTCCAACCATCTCAAAAATGGAAAAGCATCAGATATCAAAAACTTGCCACTATATTCGAAGAATTCCTTTAGCAACTCCATCCATCTGTCACTGGAATTTGAAACTTGCTTTCCTGCAATTATCTTTAGAATCACATTAATGGTTAAATGTGCGAACCATTTCTTCATTTCCACCAAAGCCTTATTGGATTGACTTCTTTGCATACTCCATAGCTGATATAAATCATGTAGAGATCCCCTTATCACAGATTCTTGCACATGTTTGAGTTTCTTTAGGCGATGGCCTGATAGGAGCTCAAGAGTTGCAATCTTGCGCACATGACGCCAGTAAGGTCCGTAGGGAGCAAATCCAAACATGGCGTTATTGTAGCTCATGCTTTCCAGGGCTATAAGGTTCGGACGATTAGCGAAGACTTTATCATTGGTAGTGAAACACTCTTTTGCAGTCTTGGAATCACTCACTACCAGAGCTTTATGGACACCCAACTTGATGGTGAATATTGGTCCGTATCTGTCAACCATGTTGCCAAGGATTATATGGGCTGGTTGTGACCCTCCGAGAAGGTGGAGATGGCCAATGACAGGCCATGCACCACCAGCTTGCGGAGGTAGCGGTGCCGCAGATCTCTTGCTTTTGAAGACAAATTTTGAAATCCATAAAAGAAAGAAGAAGAAGGGAAAGGCAAATATTGTTAAGGTTAACGGGGATGACATTGGAAAGGTTGAAGATGTATTCTTGCTTTGAGAAGATATGGACTAAACTCACGGTGTTGGGTTCACTATATGTAAGACCCAAAAAATTAAGGTTCCAACCGGGCGACCGTCACCGCTTATGTCATCGCTACAAGAAAATGGGTTTTCTGTGATTGAAAATGACGTCTGATTATCAATTGGTCATTAATATTTTTTATATTTGTGACTAATTTAAGATAATAATCACTAATATTAATTTTTAATATTATAATATATAATTTAGACACAAAAATAATATTTAGTCACTACAAATTTGTCACATTAAACTATTTAAATTTGTGATGGAAATCATTAATATTAATTTTTAATATTATAATATATAATTTAGACACAAAAATTAAATTTAACCACTAAACATTTGCCGCAATAAACTATTTAAAT